TAGCACACTGCACTGCAAGATTTCCAAACATCTGATGCTAGCAATATTGTTATTTGTTAAGTAATTCTGTTTTATAATGTCCATCTGTTTATAATTGACATTGCAGTAATCCAAATGTTCTAAAGATCAAAACAAATACACATATTTATAAAGCTGTTCAACTAGTAAAATAGTTAAAAATGGTCTTTCAAATTTAGGAACTAAAAAAATATTTTTATTTGAAAATTTATTGGGGCTTCTATTAAATTTTATTACAATCATCTGGAGTACCCTTTGATGTAGAATCCCTAGGAAACTGCCTACTTATCTTAGGTAGATGTCTACCCTTGATTGTAATGCTACAGTGAAAGTGACAATTTGTAATCAGAAAAAAAAGCATCTCTTTGTGGATCCCTGGTTTTGCAAAAGTGGATAAATCTTGTTCATGTATGTTGTAGCACTTTAACACCTTGTGTAGTCAGAATTCACATTTTGTAGGTCCAAGATATGAAAAGTTAATCTGTCTGTGGTCAATATTAATGCCTATCATAATGTTGATCTTCTCCAAAATTGACTTTCTCTGATATGTCTGAATTTGAGACCCTGCAAGTCCAAAACAGATATTTTAATTTTAAAGGGGTAGTTTACATGAAGCCCCAACATTTTATAAATTTTCCCAAAAGTTTCTCCAAATTTTTTTGGTTAACTTTTTCATTGGATAAAGGATGATAAAATATGGCAGTCTTTTTTAATCCTCTGAATTTTTGAAAATTGCAAGAGTTCACAACTTTTTCTTCTTCTTCATTTTGTTTTTTCATGAAGATATCTGTTCTTGAAAGACATGTAATCTCATTTACCAATTTTCGAAAATATGAGCAGTTTTCTCATAATTTTGCATGAAATATAGTGAATTTTCAAACAATTATTTTCTCAAAAATTACTCCATATTTTTGTTTTACATTTTGTGTCAGATAGAATAAATGACTTAAAATAAAAAATGGCACAGATCACATTTTCAATGAACTCTAAAATTTTGCAAATTAACAAAAAAATTAATATTGCAATACTATTGATGATGGATATTGATTCCATAATGAAATCTTTTCTAAAAATTAATCTTTAAATAATGTTATGTAATTTTTGAAAACATCTCGCAAATGGAGCAAAGGATGCTAGAAATATGGCACAGATCTCATTTTTGTGGAGCTCTGAATTTTCAAAAAATTTTAAAAATGTTACAAATAATGCAAGAAAGTATTTGTAATTTTAGCACCACTAATTAAGTGTAAAAGATATGGAAGTATTACTATTCATGGTACATTTGTTTTAACCTTCTTCAATTAAAAAGGTATAGAATTTACGTTATCATGGTTTTACATAAGCCAGTCAGTTCATTCAATGATTGATTTTATGACTAGACTAAACTTTGTGCTTGATGTTCTTTACTTAAGATTTTTGCTAGTTATTTGCCACTATTAACACATTTTATGTGAATTGTTTCAGTAATGGTCTTGTAAGTATTTCCAATTTCTTTCTTCTTTCACTCTTCTTTCTTTGGTGAAATTCACTTTGAATCATTTCTCTTGCAGAGATTCCTTTGACACCTCCTGAGTTGGTTCAGGATGGCTCTCTGCCACGTGGGGTGAAGCCATGCTCCCCTCCGCTGGTGGGAGTGGTGGCTGGGGGCAGACTTTCTGCATGGGTGCTGGAATCTCTGGCACCATTGGATGCATTGCAGAAGGAACTAGGGCAGGCTGCTCAAAATGTTGCTCAGCTTGCTCGCATACTGGAGCAGATTGAAAACATCCCAAGTATTGATGTTGAGGTATGCTTTTAAATTATATTAATTTTTATGAGGAGGAGAAGTAAACGCTATTGCTTTTAAGAAAATTTTCTGCATAAAGTATTGGTTATTTATGTATTTCAGCTTTCCCAGTTGCAGGTGAAGATATGAAAATAAAAATTTATAATTTTATTTATTATTGGGAAAACATTGCATTTACAGTCCCTGAAAAAGTTGGGGTGAGGGTAATGATTTCTCATGCATATTCTTAATGCTTGTTTGTCAACTTTCAGTATTCTAAAGGTTTGAGTGGGTGAAAGGAGGACTCGCACAGCTTGAGGATAATTGTCTTCAGGAGTTTCTTGGTTAAATTTTATATTATTTAATTACAACAATTTTTCCATTAAAAATTGTAATTTTTACTGAATTAATAGTCAAAAATTAATTTTAATAAAATATTGTTACAACTTTTACAAATGTAAAGTATTGGACAGAACTAGAACATCAGGTTTTTTTATAATATCATTACTATGAAAGAATGGTTGTTTTGTCTCTTGAAGGAAGTTGCATTTTCTCTGCTGTATGTATGTATGTATGTGTATGTATGTATGTATGTATGTATGTATGTATGTATATGTATGTATATGCATTCAATGCATGCAAGTGATTGCACATGTCATCATTTATCTGAAATACTATTGCAATGCAAACATCTTCTTTTCTTGATAGCATGTAATTTAATTTTGCGACAACTTCATTTGCTTCAAGGATCAGTATTGTTGCATTCCAAATTATAGAAAAAAAGACTTATTTGTCTTTGTTTTTATTTATGAAAATGGAATTTTTAAACTCTGAATTTTTGGGTTGTGGAAAGTATTAGGACCTTTTGAACACTATTCTATAATATATCCTACTAATTTGGGTACAAGAGCGGTAATAATTTGGGAATCTCAACTCGAAATACATCAGTTTCTAAAATATTATTTTCACAAGTGAAATGGTAAAATGGAAATGCAACACTACAGAAAAAAATGAGACTAATCTCTTCCACAGTTCACTGATGATTTTGTACTTGCATTAACCCATAAAAGATAATGTCAATCTCTGCCCTTGGAATAATGAAGTATCTGCCAATTAGGGAAGTTTAAGTGATTATTCCACATAAAAGGTGACTTTTACGTGGAATTTTCAGTTTTTTTATTTTTTTTATTTTTACAATGGTATTCCAGAAAAGTGATGCTATGTGTGTGGCGTATGTAAGATTATATTAGAATGTGGTATGTAGGTGGGGATAAGCACAAATGTGAATACACATACACATATGTATAATTTGGATGTGTTATTGTAATTAATCTGGTTCATTCAATGCAATAGTCTTCTGTGGAAAATGTGGATTTCTTTCCTTCATTCCTTTTTTATTTCAGGATGCAGAGTAAGGTGTTCATTTCTTAAGTTCGTCATAGACATGTGCAGAGGGGGGATGAAATTTTTTGGTAGGGGCCCTATTCTCAATAAAGGTGTTATTTCCATCTTTCTCAATAAAGGTGTTATTTCCTGATTTCTCTTTTTTAATGGCCAGTTTAGGAAATTGTGTGACATTTTGGAAACACTCTCCAAACCATCTGGCAACCCTCTAAATGGCTTAACATTAACTCAGTTGTATTTATTCACAGTATCATTAAAGTTAAAATTTCATACAGCTTGTAGCTTGTATTAATTAACAAGTAAAATATATAGTATGTGAATAAAAAAGTTTAATGGAAAAGTGAGAAATGCAATTGGTCCTCCCTTTTGTTTAGGTGAGGTGGATATGTGCAATTGTTGATTTATGTTTTTATTTAGGAGTGTTGTAGACTTAATGTAATAGCTGAGAACTTGATGGGAGAACAGCAGTGTGAGTTCCGAAAGGGAAGGAGCACTAAAGAGCCATCTTCACATTACAGATGATAATAGGCAAAAGAAGGGACAGAAACTAACCGACTTTTATAATATTTATAGATTACGAAAAAGCATACAACAGAGTAAACAGGCAGAAACTCTGGGAAATACTAAAAGAAGAGAGAATTCCAAATCAATTACTCAATACAATCCAGAGTTTATATGAAAACTCCAACTTGAAATAATATATATATATCATATATTATATATAAGATATATATATATATTATATATATATAAATATATCAAATTATTATATATATATGTATATATATATTATAGATATATAGTATATGTATATATATATGATATATATATATGTTATTGTACTACCTAGCGAGAAACTGGGAAGAAAATGAATTAGGCGTTTCTAATGCAGGAAGACTAAAAAGATAAGATCAATCTAATAACTGGTGATCAAACAATCATACAGATTCTGAAAAGACTGCAGAGCAGTTTTTAATCTAACACAAGGGCCAGAAATAGTGGAACTAATCAACAAATTTTCATATCTTGGAAGTATCATAAATACCACACCCAGGAGGATTTCAAAAATTAATTGTATAAATACAACAGAATCTGTGGAACAATTAAACAACACTTTGGCAGAAACATGGATGCAAAAACAAAACTAAAAATTCATAATATACAACTAAAACTATAGCTATGTACAGCTGGGAGTCGTGGACAATTAGTGTTACAAACAAAAAATAGAAGCAGCACATATGAGATTTTTGAGATTCCTTGTAGGAGTTACAAGAAGGGGCAGTCAGAGAAACAAAGGCATTAGAAAGAAACTAAAGATTTTGTAGAGGAAATATAAAACTCTCAAAGAAAATGGCAAAATCACTTTAAAAGAGTGAACAATAACAGGTGGCCAAAACTAATATGGAAATATAAACCAGCAGGGAACAGATGTTTTAGATTTCAGCTTTTCATCTAGGCCCTTGTAAATGTTATGGCAATACCTATAAAAAAAATACTTTTAACCACTCATTCTTAATTTTTTCTTTGTTTTTGAGGTGTCATACACATGAGTTTTCCTGACTTTAAATTTCTTTATCAAAACTTTGACAGAAGAGTTAATGTTTTCAATTTGCTGCTGGACATAAACACTGAAAAACAATACCTGCAACTTGTCGAACTGAGCAACAGTAATCATTTAGAATCAGTGGACCAAAGCCCAAATTACAAGAACTGGATTGTTCTTTGCATCTCTTCACATGGGCTTGTAAATGTCAGTACTATTACAAATAAACATTTGCTTTTAAACGAGTAGCATGGGAAATACGAGTTTCGGATGAGGTTAGCTGAGAAAGTAAATGACGAGTATAGCTCATAGTGTTTCTTGGTACAGTGTCGTAACACTGACAAGTCAATGTTTAATTTTATAACAATATTTGTTTTCCATCCTATTCAGAATTTTTAATACCAATGAACAAAAAATTTCCTTTCCGTTTCCGCATTAGGCAGATTTCTGACTTACTAGTGTACTTTGTGTGGGAAAATAGTTTGTTTTGAGATTTTTTCCAGCGAAGGCAGGTTTCCACCTTTTGTAGGTTCTGCCTTAAACAGCTTTTACTATATTTGTTTACTTAGTTTTTATTAATTTATTAGTCAATTGAGAAAACTATATTATAGAATGTTGAGATTCAATTCAAAATGTCTGAAGAAGAAGAAGGTATTTGAAATTCCATGTAAAATTTTCAGCAATTTTCTTCATAAATCATTTGGCTTTATTCATGACTTGGAGAATTTCATAATATTTGTTTTTGAAACTTTCTTACTTCCTGATGAACGTTAAGTCTTGTGTCCTATAAAGAAATTATTTAAAGCTTTTCTTGCTCTGGAGTTTCTTGTATGCATTAGTATATGTAGTAAACTTGTTTCTAGGATAATTTTTCAGATGATGTGGGTATTAAAATGACTACCATGCGAACTTCGTTCAGAATCTGATTAAAAAGTGTGTTATTAATAGGTTTTTAATGATAATTCTTAGTATTAATAATTATTAGATGAGGCATGCAACAGTAAATATATGATATTAAATTATTTGTATTATTTGGTCTATTTAAATTCAATGTCAATTTGTCAATTTCTGTCTATCAGGAAACTCCAAAATTTGGAGCCTCCTAAACGCTGGGAATAACTTTGAATACTATTCAGAATTATGATTTGATGAAAAGATGAATTCTTTGATCTAATAATCAGAAAATATTAAAATTACTTTTTCTACATGAATTTATATTTTGTGTAGCAAATGTTTCTGGTTTTTGTATGTAACCATTAATTAATTTCTTTTGGAGCTGCGGAATTTGCTTGTTGCACAGCTGCTTTTGTGTATTAATGGTAATGGTGGCACTTTTAGCATTATAGATATAACATTATCAAAGTTCTTAATGGACCTAGTGTGTTTGTGGGAAGTTATAAAGTGTTCTTTGATGATTGACTCTGAAAAATTGAAGTATTTAGTTATTCAAAATATGCATTATTTTGTTTGTGGTAAATGTATTATGAAATTATTTTAAACTTAATTATCATATTTAATTTCAAACATTTATTCATTTGAAAATTTTTATCTTGAATACTTATCAGCTTTTACTCATTTTGTGCTCTTATAACTGTTAATGATTGAATCGTTTTGTAGAAATGAAATGTATTGATGTTTGTAGGTTGAAATGCAAAATTTACTGAGAAACCGAAAACCAGTGACTTTAACTAAAATAACTACCTATTTAATTAAAAATGTATATCTATATCTACATTTTCTACAATTCCTCTTTGTGATTTAAAAATTTACAAATGTGCTTTGTAGACTGCAATTGTGACATATAATTATTTTTAGTACTTTCTTCAATAATAGCTTGTAATCTTCAAATAGCAATCTCTCTTCTTTTTCTTTGTTTATTCTTCAAAATTAATTTATTTATTCTTGGGAACTCATCACAACTTCAGCAACATGTAGTGCTTTCTATGCTTCTAACTTTCAAGCTGAATTTGTAAATAACTTGTCAGAAATCATAGAAAGTAATCTGAAGTGTACTTTCCTTTTACTAATTGAAGTGCTCGTTAACGGTACTAGTTTCATCTTCAACTGACAATGGAAGTTGACAGCAAGTCATGTGGATGGATACAATTTCATACATGATTTCCATAGTATATCAGTATAACGCAGAATGAACTTGATGATATTAATAATTTTACATTCAAGTATTTGAAAATTTAACATTTCAGAGACAATATTATTTAAATTTTAATTCGGCCATGATGTTGTGTTAAAAAATTCAATTTACTCACATGTCCAGTTGTACTTACGGAAACAATGTACAGTTAGGAAAAAATGAATGGAATCAATTCTGAAATTTTTCACATCAAAAAATGGAGAGCTAGTTCATTTTATTAATACCTTTTTGATTTACAGCCTGTCAATGAAGGCTTTTCTCCAAATGTAAAAAAGGATCGCAAAAAATTCGGTTTGCGGAAGAAGAAGAGTTCAAAGGGCAGCTCTGTAGACTTGACAGGCTCGAGTCCCAGTAAAAATACTGATGTTGATTCAGCATCCCCTCTATCCGTAAGTGTCATGCTATCCTCTATCTTTCTCTTTATTGATATCTTCATGGGACTGAAGTCTTGGTTAGCTGGCTCTGTCACTAACTTTAAGATAGTTTTCCATGGCTTTTTTTTGGTTTTGGTGTGTAGTTGCCATGGTTTTGTTAATGAAATTTATGTTCAAGCAATTTTTTTTTACATCCTTATAAGAGATGAACTCCATGGGAAAGGTTGATATGATCCAACTGCTTCTTACTGTCTCTTGGAAGTTCTAAACTTTGAGCAATTTTGTCCTAATTTTGTTTGTAAATTGTAATTTTGCATTTGGTATTGGTTCCGATTTATGTTGTATCTTGGCTGTGGGATCTGACAATTGACAGTATTTTGAATAATGCATGAACTTTAATTCTCAATTGATTTGTCATGTTTGCTTTTCTGTAGTAAATTTTCTGTTGTTTCTTTTATGCAGTTCTGTGTAGTGGTGCCTTGCTTGTTGTGTTATCTTATCTTTGTTTTGTTTGGAATAACATATTTTTGTATTTTTATAGTATTAAATATCATTTATACTGAAGAATCTTGTTCTTCTTTCATTCAACCTGTCTCACTCCTGCTTTTCCCCTACATTCCGAGCTTAATTTTTATTACTTTAATTCTTGCTTTTGCCACACAATTTTTGTTTCTTTAACATTATTAAAACTAACTAAATATGTGTGGGATGCTGTGTGTTGCCATTTTAACCATAAGATGAAACATACTTATGTGCAATTCATTTTGATCTTATGTACTGGTACATTAAGATTAAGAAACAAAACATAATCAGCTTGATAATTTAAGGTGTCCTTATGAAATGATCTGCTAAATACTATAATTTCTTTCTGATGTAAGACTAGATATTAAATAAAAACCAAAATACTGTTGGGATAAACACTTTTCTTGTTCAGTTGAGTATTATAATACTTAATTAAAAATGCCCATCAGTGTTAGTTGGAGTGTATTTCATTTAGTATGAGATGTTCAGAGCATATCAAATATTAATGGAGGTACTTGGATTTGATGACTAATATTTTAAAGTGATGTGTATAATCCTTGCAATACGAGTGTATAAAAAAATATTAGGTTATTCACAAACTTAGAGTTTAACATTTAAGAAACAATTTCAAAGTATTTAAAATGCAAGAGGTTGATAAAACACAAAATAAGGAAATTGAATTGTCTTCACTGACAATCAGCAGTTGAGTTTGAAAGGTTTCTCTCCATGGTAATGCTGGGACCTTCAGGAGGGATTATTCCTTTGAAGAAAGGTCATTTTGACTTTTGAAAGTAGAAACAGATGCAAGGGTAGAGCCATTAGGAGAAGCTCATCAAAATAAATAATAAATTGATAAAGAAGATTTCTGTGCTAGAAATGGGCAGTTGTTGTAATGATTCTAAAATAATAAAAAGTTGTTGCACCAGCAGAGTAAATGGCACTAATGTTGGTTTGTTCATCATATTCAATATCAAGAGCAGCACCATCAAAACATTTTTTGATATATTGAAGTTTATCTCTTCTTTCTGCTGCTTGGTACAAGTGGGTTAGATTGATGATGAAAACTTTCACAGAAATGATACTTGGAGTCTCCATTTGAGTGCAGTAGACTTATTTCTACCTCTTTATTTCCAGTATTTGCTGCCTGCCACTACTCCTGACAAGTTATATTTTTGTAGTTTTAATTGCTACTTTGTTAAAGTTGCTAATAAATTCCCAAAAATAGTTGAGGATGGACATTTTTAAAACTACAGTACCTGTAGTTGGGGTTCTAAACTATAACTGGCACATACAGTATTTGATAATATGAATGTGATTGTTTGTCCTGCATTTTTAATAACTTGAATTATTTTTCCCAAAAATTAAATGACCCACAATTCTTTTTAGCCACAATTTTCACATTGATTTTAGGAGTCGTCCATAAATTACTAAAGAGGGGAGGTGGTTTGAAGCATCATGACACTGTATTACATAGAGGTAGGGGTGTGTTACTTTAGTGTTTCATATGTTTCATAACACTGTTATTAATTTTTTAAACATTTTTCAACATTTTCTGAAATAAGTAACAAAGCGTGCAAGAAATTGAATGAAACAATAAATAAATAAATAAATAAATAAAAAAGTTGTGATGTATAAATAATGTAACAATAAACAAATATTTTTTCACATCCTTTCACTAAAAAAATGTCCCCAATCTTATTGTTAGGTGCAGCCAACTAGTTCTGACTACAAATTGTTTTTACTGTTATATCATTTATTTGTACTTATTGTAAATGGGATGTGTGTGCTGAAGCATGCGAAACAAGAACATTATGGCAGAGACCGATTACTTAAAATTCTCCAAATTTGCATTATGTAATTTATGGATGGTCTTGTATGTGAATGGGATTCAATTTGAATACACATTACTTTCTCTTTCATTATATTTAAAAAATAGTCAAGATTTTATTTCTTAAAAATATAATTTTTATTCCTTAGTCAGAAGTTCATCATTTTCCGTTCCTTTTATCTTGTTTTATAAAACCCACAAATCCCCATCTAATTGGCCAAATATTCAGGGCTTTCGTGTAATTGAAGGAAAGGTAAATAAATGCTGCTAGTTTATCATTGTTTTGGAAATTTCAAGAAATCTAATTGAATTTTTGTTGTCTTGTAGTTTCACTATTCCCCTAAGATTTATCCATCAACCGCCCTCCCCTCACGTGCGCACTTGTGCCTACATCCTCAGACACTCGCAAGAAAATATATTATAAATGATGTTATAAACGGCCATAAAACTCTAACCAAAGGGTGCAAAACAGAATAAGCCATGCCACATTAATGCCTATTGTTTTCCTTAATTTTATGGTAACTCTGAATTTGACAATTTTACCTCTTAAATCGATACAGAAAAAACAATGGGAAAGAGTTCACATTGAACTTGCATAACTATCTTCATAGTTGTTTTTACATGAAAATGAGTGGATATTCTTAGTTTCAATCAAATTGATGGGGTTGGGGAGGTAAGAGGAAGGAAGTGGATTAGGAAGATACTTTTGAGCATAATTCTGGCTGTGTTGACTTAAATTGCAGAACTCTCGAGGCAATTCTCCTTCCATGGTATAAGAAAGTTATTATACTGTTTGTATGTTTCCATATTGTAAAGATGGTGTATTATGAATGTACTTCCTTGCACTCTTTGGTATTGTCAGAACTTGTAGAGGACGTTTTGAAAACTAAACTAAGAGATTAGATTAAGAGGGAAGTTTGTTGTTGTCTTTGGATGATATCCTAGTGCTTGCATATAGTTTAAAAAAATCTACTTTTGTTATTTCTGAAAATAATTATTGATTTAGAATGTATTAAAGCTAATAAAAACCTTAAAATTTTTATAAATGTAAATAAATCATCAGAATTTAATTTGTATAATCACATGTTAAAGCCAAATAGTAAGAAAACTTTGTGAAGCACATTTTTCTTTCTTCTCCCCTCAAGAAATTTATTATTTTGCAAATTAAGAAATTGTACTTGGGACAATGTATTTTGTGTGCGTGCAAACATTTGTTATAACATTTTATTATCTAGAATTTTTTTAAAATTTATTTGCTGTAATTTTAAAGTAATAACATTTGAACCAAATAAAGTTAGCTCCTCTTTAAAACTCAAAGATCTGAATATATTTCTCATAATAAAACCAATGAATTGCAATGTCAACAATGTTTGTTTGCTTTCATACCTACAGACTAGTTCATTGGCTGTTACTCTGGCCTCTCAACCTATTCCTATTGGAATAGGAGCCGGTGGTCTCAGTAGCAGTAATACATCTTTGGCATCAGCTAATTTAGTTGCACGGCCACAATCATTGCCTGGTGGTGGTGAGCATCTCCTGCCTCTTGCATCTGCAGCAGCAACTGCAGTAACAATAACTGCAACTGGTGAAAGTGGTCGCCCCAATTCCAGTTGTACACCAGATAACCAGCTGAGGGATGATTTTGTCATCTTAGCAAAAGACAGTGAGTAGAAAATTTTTAACAGTTATCATCCCTGTATATGTTTACTTAAAGGAATTATGTAATTGTAAAAGTGCGATAATGTAATAGTTTTATGCCTATTGTCCTTTGGTTTGCATAGTTCTGTGTTTCATTTCTCTCTTTATTTGGCTTTCATTTTGTGTTTGTGTGAATATTTGCCAACTTTATTTATACTAACTTGCCTGTGTGGAAAGTGCAGTCCACAAATAAGTCAGTAATATAAGTTGGGATAGTTAAAAAAAAGTATTGAATAAAAAATTATTTAATATGGTTCAAATAATTACAATGACCAAGAAAAACATAAAGTATATAATACAGAATATTCATAAAGTATAAGAGTCAAGGTAAAAGAAGAGCTGAACCCTACAAAAAAGTTTACAACATAAAGTGAGACCTGTGTAATTTCATTGCACGGAATATCAAATAGTTTAATTTTACTTAGCGTTATTTCCTGTATAATTGCATGTGCATTGCATGTGGCCTATGTCATTTTACAGGAGGGACAGAAAACTCTCAAATAATTTTTATTTGCTTCATATATTATAATATGTTCTTCCATTTCTTTGGATTGAGTTCTAATGAAGGTACAATTAAGGTACGGGTTCTTAATACAATTCTAATTATTTTTTGCTCTTCAGGTGTATATAATTAATTTTGTCAAAAAGTGTCCATAGCCAGTCCATAACCATGAGATTCTGCAGTTCTCTGACCACTCGTGCTGTGTAGTGAGGGTGCAGAAGAACTGAATCTCCAAAAATGTCAGCCCAAAAAGATATAATTTTCTTCATTACGGCTTAAGGAATGTAGCTTGACACACACGTACAATGTGGATAACAGTTGAGTCCCTGGATATTATGGATTTGCGTGTGTGCCTGCTTGTTTTTCAAAGGCATAATCTACAAAATGATACATTGCACACTGTGTACACTGTATATTTTAAACCTTTTTTGCAGCTCTGGGGTTATTCTCCATTCATCAGGACTAAATTTTGAGAGTCTTCATTGTGTTGGGTGCTTAAAAAGGAGTCGAAATTTCGTTTTGCACTTGATTGAATGAATCAACTGTGCTGTGACAAGTTCATTAGTTGAATAAGTACTTTATTTAGATTAAGATTTACTTAGTATACATTTACAAACAAGCAGAATTGGGTTTTTAATTTCAAACGAATTTTTAATTTTATATAATATTCATTTTTACTTTCTCGCACGTACTTCGTAAGAAGAGAAAGTTACGAAAAGTTACGGTGGATGGAGTCTGTTCATTTGATACTGTAGTAAATTACTTCCTCCACAAGTGATACAGCCAGAATCCATGTTTTGTAGGTCCTTGATACGTAAAAATCGATTGACGGCAAAATTGTCCGTTCGTCCGATTGTCTGTGGACACAAATAGCGCCGAAACAGTTCAGCCGATTTTCTCCAATATTCGTATTCCCCGATCGATCTAAACTAACTCAAGGCTTTGGAGTTTCGACCGTATATTTTGATTTTTGAGGGTACTTTACGTGAAGCCAAAAACATTTTGAAAATTTTCTCGAAAATGGCATCAAATTTTTTGATTAAACTTTGTTTTCAGGTAGCGTAAAGGACGCTTGTGAGGGTGGTTCGTTAAAATGTCAGATTTTTCAAAAATCGCAAAAGTGTGATTTTTTTGGTGGGGGGCGTGTTTCATCCAATTATAATGTTGAAGATAGAGATTTTTTTCCTTTATGAAATCTGTTCTTGAAGACAAATCTTGAAATAAATTCATTCAATTTTTTGAATATATGAGTAGTTTTCGTGTAATTTTGCGCGAAATATAGACAATTTTATTTTTTTTAAAAAAAAATTGTACCCCTTCAAATTTTCCTCTTAAATTTTCTCCTCGTATGTGCCAAAGGATGGTAAAAAAGATGATGCTAGTCCCACTTTCTGTTTTCTTCGTATTTTCGAAAATTACAAAAAGTTAACATTTCAAAACTACAAAATTGAAGATTAGGGATATTTACTTCAGGCCTAGACTGTTGTAAAAATTCAGCTGTTTAAAAAAGGTCATGTACAATTTCTTGAAAAAACAAGCAGATTTAGCGTAATTTGGGTAATTAGCGTAAATTTATGGAATTCCTAAAAAAGTTCTCAAAAACCACTTTCAACTTTTTCACATTTAGAAGAAGGGACGCTTAAAAGAATGACATGGGTCTCATTTTTTATGAACTCTCTGTATTTCTGACAATTGGAAATAATGTAAGAAAGTATATGCTGTTGTAGCCCCGCTAGTTTGAAGGAGGTAGTCTAACAAGGAAGGTATGGAAGTGAAACGCAAACTCCACTAGTTGATCACAACAAACTTGTTCTGGTTGATCAAATGAGGTGAAAGCAGTGATGTGTCTTTCACTATTTCATGGTAAATGTTTCTTAGTACTTTATTCTGGAATACCTCCTTTATCTTGTTGTTTTCTATAACAATAGCTTGGATAATTACTTGTTTTGATTGATGATTGCTGCCTTTAGCAGGAAAATATTTCCTGAGAGTTTTTTGGGGTGACCAATTTTGAAATTTCAGAAAAATTAACTTGATTAAATAATTGAAAGATGAGACTTGTTTAATAACAATTTAATTTTAATTGCAAAATTAAAAATGACTGTTTATCAAATATAAAGATTATTTTATATAAAACTTGTATTCTGGTTCTGAACATATTCAGGGGAATAGTGCTGTGAAGGAGGAGTGTAGTTTTGAATTAAAGACTTAATGGGGATTTTGGATTATAAGAATGCAGAATAAAGAGAAGCAGAAAAGAAAGAACTTTTTCTGTTTAGTTCACAGCAGTTTGAAATCTGCTCTCTACACGTTATGTACGGAACGAGATCGTCTGAAGACTGCCTTGGAATCTGAGGGTAACGCTGCATCTGGAGCATCTGTGTTGGGTGGAGGTGCAGGTGTTGTGACAGCTCTGCGAAGCCAACTTACCCAGGCTCTAACTCAGAATGCTGATCTTCGTACAAGACTGGCTCGTGTACATGATATTGCAGATTTGAGTGATATGTCCTCTGTTGGACCCGCTTCTGAAGTGGTAGTTATTTTTAATTCAGTAAAATTAATCATGAATTTTAATGTTGCTCTGTTAGCTAAATCTTATCTTTTTTTTAAAATTTAATTTAATTTTTTGTGGGCATCAATGATGTTTGTTGTGAAGTTCTACTCATTTGAAAAGTTGGTTGTATACAATTATATGTATGTAATAAATTGTGAAGTTGTTTTTCCATTTATTATCATATTAACATTTTTCATTTTAAAATACCTGAATCGACAGAAGAGAAACAAAGCAATGTGGATCTTTTAAAAGGTATTTCTGTCACACTTATAAAGACTGTTTTATTGAATTGTATTTTCACAAAATTGATTAGTAAAAAATGTGGAACTTTGCGTTCAAATTTTCTAATTCAACCAATATTATAGTTATAAAATCTGTGCAGAGGTAGTAAAATTATAAAAAAATTATAATTACTCAGTCTTTCATTGCTTCTCTTCAAAATTTTGCAATCTATTTAACTTCGAAAGCAACATTTTAAAATTATTTTATTTTTAAAATAATGTATGAATTTTGTTAAAAGAGTGCTCAAGATATTGATGAGATGGAATTATTTTCAGCTGCAGAAACCTCTCCATCAATCCCTGTCGTACAGTTCCTCCTGCATTAGTGCTTCAGAATTCTTTGATGCGGAAGAGTATGAGGAGCGGGAAGGTGGGGAAGAAGGTCGCAGGGGAAGGGGCCATGATGGAAGTGACACCTCCTCTGAGGCAGGCTCTTTGACCAGCGAAGAGGGCAGTGTCAGCAGTGAAAACAGCGAAGTGGGCACAGAGTACACACCAGCACAGAGCAGTGAGTCCTTACTGGAGAATGTTCTGCATGTTAGACGCATTGCAAACTGTCCTAGGAATGTTTTATTTTTTGTTTAAGAATTGTTGTATGGATTATTTTATGGATTTTTTGTTGATTATAATGATTAATAATGTTCAATTATATTGTGCGAGTATATATTGTGTTGCTAAGAGCACCATTTTGCACAGTGTGGCACATATCTGAAAGCTGATTTTGTTTTCTTTTTGTGATTCTTTCATGGGGAATGTTGGCTGCACGATTGATTATAGTTGGAGTGAGCAGAGATTCCCAAACCAACTGCTGTGTTTTATTTCTTTCGGACACTTAAGTTCTTTACTTTTAGTTCCCAAGGTTGTTTTGTAGTACCCTATTCAAGCAATCCAAAAATAGTAGTCTTGTATAAATAATGTTCAATTAACATATGAAAAATGTAAAGAGCAGTGACAAGTGCAGTTGAAGTACAATCTTCATTTAACTTGTAGCAAGTCCACTGTATACTAAGATATATACCAAAAATGATTTTAAATTTTATATCTTTAAGTAGTTTTAATAAGAGCTTATATTCAGGATATCATTCAATATTTTGTGAATGAAAGTCAGATTTGTAATATTCACCTTGTTTTGGTGTATTGATATGTAAAAGTTAATCTTAATTCAACCTATTATTAAAGACTAGACATTAATGTGGATACAACAATTACTTTCATTTGCTTAATCGTAAGATTAAAGTTATGAAGAGTTTATTGCTGAAAATAGTACTTTTGAATTGTTCTTCAGATTTTCTAATGTTTATAAGGATTGTTTATTGTAACAATTTCACAGATAAGAAACTTATTAGTAAGGATTGAGTAAGTCAGTGGAATTCTAATTAAAAGCAATGGTCATCTTCCCTGAGAGAAAGAATGTTTCACTTTTTCATTTGAGGATTATTCATACACTATCATTTCAATAATTTATAGACAATTACCATTTACCACTCACTAACACTTTTTCTGCACATGCACATACAAACTGCTGATTTAAAAAAACAAGAGATATGCATTTAACTTGATGGTGTGTATCTGTGTAGCTTGTGACCTTCCGCAGAATAATGACAACAGTTGCAATGGTTGGGAAACTCTGCTGAAGAGGAACAACTTCTGCCGTAAGAGAATTACTTTAATTTTAGATGTGTGCCACTTTGTGCAATTAGTATTAATTTAAGAGCACAGTAAGTTGTCCAGAAGCACAATGAGCCATTGATGTGCTCGCTGTGTCTCAGTGGCAGGCGGTGGGGCTGGTGCCGGCATGAAATGCATGACTGGTCGCCGAACGAAGCTCCCTGCACCCAGGCCTGACACTGAGGGGCTTTCGCTCTGGAACCTTCTGTGTAAGAACATTGGCAAGGACCTTTCCCAAGTGTCCATGCCTGTAGCCCTCAACGAGCCTCTGAATATGTTGCAGGTGAGTTGCAAACCTGTTCCGCTTATTTGGCATGAGGAGAATTCTCTCTTTCCCTACTTCCTTATCTCCTTTTTTTTCTTTCATCTTCTTTCTTTCTTTTTTTAACAGACCTATGCAACTTCTGCTATCTGAAGACTAACTTACTAATTTATGTGTATTTGCCAAAACAAATTTTTATGTGATGTGAAGTAAATTAAAATCACTCATTGAAACATGTAGCTAACTTCAGATACTCATGTGAGAAATAATGCAGAAGAATCCCCCCTTATAATTGGCATCTGGGGACATCAATTTTTCTCTCTCGTAGGCAGGAACTTGTGTAAATGGAAAATGTTAAAATAAGTTCATATCTGCACATTTTTTATGTTCTTGACATGAAACCTGATTTCTAGTTTTTCTGATATTGACATTAAGTTCCTTTTTGAAGCCATTGAAGTGGGATTCTCAAAAAAAAATAATTTTTTTCTTAATTGAGATGCTACCCTTCGCACAACCTCTAGTCTTATCAAATACTGCATACTTTACTCATTCATCTCAACACAATGAGGACATTAACGTGAATGAGCCCTTAGAGTCAGCGCCCCCTTAACCTTAACTCCCATCCTTAACACCGCCTTACCACCTTTACTCGCAGTCCCGTGCGAGATGTTTAGGTGATCCGCAACTATAGAGTTTTTATAAGAATGGACCGTTTGAGAGCTAGTGCTGGCAACATAACTGAAGGTTCTGTGGTCGTTGTGTCCATCAGCAACTTCAAACTCGTCTCGGCCTTTGTAAAAGGGTTTCCTGGCGACTGGTACCTGTCTTTCCGTTTCCGTGACGGCGGCAACCTCTTCCTCTCTGTCCTTTTCCGGAAATGGTTTCAAAAAACGTTTCCATCTCGACCTATTGTTTTCGTAATTGTCGAGTTTCTTCGCGAATTTAAGTAGCATTGAGAAATTTTCCCACCCATCAATGAAATGTTCCTTCATTTCAGCTCCATCGTTTCATTTGGTCTGTCACGATCAAATTTAGCAACCCCTCGAATGTTGAAATTCTGAGGTATTCGCGACCCATTCTTTGGAATAATTGTGCAATTCTCGCGCGTGTATATTCCACGTGGTGTTTGCAGACTTCGTGTGCCTCACAAATAACTGCCTAAATTCCTCTGCATTAAATTTGTACATTTCTAGCAATTTGGCTTTAATGTCAGCGTACTCGGTCATTGTTTTCCCGTGTTCTAATTTAAGCCATGAATTTATTTTATGAGAAGTATAAGATTGGAAACCCAATCTTCCTCTGGTACTGCTATCAGTTCTGCTTGAGACCCAAACACGCTTAAGTCGCACGCATCGTAAAACCGATGTCACCATTAAAACAACTACCTCGTCTGTGACGACGTGGGTAGGATGTACACCACAAGGAAACTGACACACGTGGGCTATATACAATTTATTTGACATAAATGTTTATAGTATCTACAGGTTCCCACTCTAAGGCGTTTGCCGGAGCTAACTAACTTCAGCCCCTCCCCACACGCGCTGCGCCCGCGTCTAGTCAATTAGGCCGACTTGCAACTCGCATCTGACGTTCTTCGGCAGATACACTATCTGCCCTCCAGTGGTAGAGAAGCACTTAACTGTGCTGAAACACATCGGAACACCACCTCATGCACACAGCACCGTGCGCCAGCCTGGGCGGACAAAGGTTTGCAGGCTAGCTGCGAGCAGTGCTTTGCAGCGCAGTTCCGTGTGGCCGCAGTAGTGCAATGCTGCCACACTTCCCTGCGTGCAATGCACGCGGTTTCGGCGTGCTCGCCAGAGCACAGAGCCGCTTCTGCGAGCTCTCTCGACCGGTGACCTCGGGAATTCTCAGTGCGAATGAGGGAGTCATGGGACAAGCTCCGCTTTCTGCTCGTTCGCCTCCACTTTTGGTCGCCTGCCTTTTTCGCTGTCGCCGTTCGCTAGGCGGCGGGAATCTCCGAAACCGCAAAGATTTGTTAACTCCGTCGCTTGACATATAGCCCCATTACATGACGGTCTCCGGGTTTCAGCTTCTTCAGTAGGTTTCATCCACTTTGAGTTTCTGATTCAGTTAAGCGTGTTCTAACACGCCCGCCCTTAAACTGATTCAGAAGCAAGCTTATTCGGCCGGGTGTCGCGTGCGCTTTGGCCATTCCCGTGCGGCTGCCTTCAACGCTATGTTTTTTAGCGCTGTATACAAGCGCCATTATTCGGGGGGGAAGCTTCCGCGCGTCGGGCTTGCTCGTTTTGCCCGGGAAGCGGGCCCGGCTCAGGCTATCTCGAGTAAGCCTCACGCAAGCTGCTTTGGCTTCCTGGCTCCGATTTCTGCTTGGCGGTCTTGAAGGATGGGCTCTGGCTTCCTGAGTCGTTTTTCCTTAGCTCTTTCTGGAAAGCAAGAGGACAATTAGTGCGTTTGCGGGCGGGTGGAAGTAGAGGGAAGTTTGTAGGTCGCCGCGGCCATCTTCGGCAATGACTGAGAGGTGGTCCAGAGGGAGCTCGCAAGTTGGTGGTGAGGTGAATAGGTGTGGCCAAGATCGCGACGACGGCGATATCCAACACGTCCGGTCGTCTGCGTTGACTGGGAAGTGCGTGGGTTGCATGGTCTATCACCTCGTGCCGTGCGCATTTTTCAGTGGCGGCCGGCGAGGGGCGAGGCGATGCGGGAATTCAAGACGGGTGTTTGCGTTGAAATCGCCCGCTAGGAGGGTAGGGATTGCGAGCGTGCGGCTCCGAGAAGAGCGTCGAATTCGCTCTGATCTGAAGACGCGCTTTCGCTGGTGGGAGGTAGGTCGAGATGATGCGCAGCGGTCCCTCTTTCGTCTGGACCGCACCGCGTGGCTCGATGTTTCTGAACGGCGGCAAAGCTAATTGTGATGCGGCGATGGCCGGCGGCACTAGTACTGGCGTTCGACGCCGGGTTTGCGTTCGGAGCCGTGCCTGATCTGTCAGACTTTAAGCAAATGTAGCAGGGAGAGAGAAACGATGCTTTAGGTTGTAAGTGAGTTTTCTCCGTAGCAAAACTTGAGAGTGGTGCTTTGCGGCAAGATGCCGGCTAGCTCCGCTGTTTGTTTCCTGTTGACGTACAATTGCAGTTCAAAAGGGCGAGCGTGAGGCGAGCTGGAGCTGCTGAAGGGAATTGGCAATATTATTATTTTGGATGGCCGTGTTAGCCATGACGTGTGGAGGAGGCGGGGGCGGAGTCAGCGCTCCCTCGGCCGCGCGTCGGACTGACCGAGTGGTTGTGGGCGTACTCCAGGAGTTTTTTCCCATTACACCTGCAGTCATCAGCTCGCGCAGTGCTCGGGAGCGGCGGGTGATGCGCGGGTGATGAGAGGATCGTGCTGATAGGATCACATTGGTTAGGGCCAGGTCTTCCGCGATGTTATGGGAGGACCTCTTTGTTTTCTATAGGTGTAGGTCGGGCCGGAAGTTTTGCTCCTCTTCTCGCCGGTCCAGTGCGTCCGATGGTGGCGCGGGGGGCCCCTAGCTGGTGGGTTGGGAAGGGCGGGAAGGGGCCGGTGGAGGGCCCACGGTGCGCGCGTACGTGGCAGCTGGGGCTGGGCCGGGCGGCGGCGGCGCGCGCGGGGCGCGGCGTGCGCT